GCTACCAACCGATCAACATGGAAAGCATTGGGGGAAGCCTATGGTCAGCAGTAGACGTCCTATGGCTGAAATGATGAAAGTTCAATAATAACAAGTAGGTAGGTATAAAAATTATATAAGTACTTCGCGCATACATTATAAACAGTTTACAATAGAAGTTGTTTATGTTAGTTTCTAACATATTTTTACAGACAGAACTTATTATAGTCGTAACTTATTTCTATCACGGGCCATTTTCTTTTACGTACTCACATGAACACACACGTTCACAAGTTTTTAACGAGGTGATCATTAGGTATTATTACAGGTTTATTACCCTTCAGATACTGAAACAAAGCACAAATACGTTAGTACCTACCTAAGCTTTTCAGTACGGTAAAACTTTTCTCATTTCGCGGTCAAGACGACGTTTTCCATTAAGAGCGGTTACAGGATACCGCCAACCATAGAGTATAAACACTCGATAAGGTTTAATAATAGTAATACACTGCATTCGGATATTGGAAGTTGTGTCCACTTGAGCGAATACGAGGGTTTAGTATGAAGGAATATGAAGTTGTTGAGAGGTTGAGAAGTTCAATAAACTTAATAGAAAGATGAACAAAATGAAGTAGCTTTTGGTCCAAATTGTAATTTAAGAACATGTCAAATACATAGTTTATCTGACATATTCTTAAATCAACTCTAAATAAATAAACAAAACTAAAACTTCAACATAACTTGGAGAATATGTTTTTTTTTATCATCTTTTCTCATCTAAAACATCATAACATACGATTTTGGTTCGAATCGTATCGAACGCGGATATTAAAAATTCTGTCACCCAAATCAACGTCCCTGAAAGTAAAGCAGAACGGCAGCATGAAGCTATTCTATATTTAAGTAAGTAAGTAAGAATATCGGAAGAAATATAAAAATTGGTTGGTGTTACACCGAGATAAAATATGCGCCTAAAATAATTTCACCGACAACATAGTATAAACAATTTACCGTTACAACATCATCGTTTATTCCTACGCGAGATGGCGATAAAACAACAATAATTGAGTATTCTCAAACCATGCGAACGAAAACAAAGAAGGCGTAAAGCCGTGTAGACGTGATTATACCAAAATACGCAAACATAAACGGATCGTCGGAATATTTCGATGATGGCATTGTTCGAATATTACATTGTTGTTATACAAATAGGCCTGGTTAATATTCTATACATAATACTGCAGATTTTCCTGCATGGTTCGTTTGAGCTACGAAATCTGTCTGCTCTGTAATTAAGCATTATGTACGCATTCATTAACATGAACAATGTAAATCGTCATATACCTACGAGCAGGTGATTAAAACTTGTGATTCCTATTCTGTGTCAAAGCTGTGGGAGTATCTTTAAATTTTCTTATCTTAGTAGCCTGAAAATAATGAAATGAATAGGTACCTACACTGAACCATTGTTGTTACTTCAAAAATGCTTTGCAGAGAGTTTATTTCTTAAAAATTAATGAAAATGTTAGGTAAGCACTGGTTTTGTTGAATTTATGTTTTTTTTTTTTGAAGGGACGCGCGCTGGTAGCTTGAGAAGCTTTTCCAGCTTCACCGGGCAGAGTGGCGAGTACAGTGTACCTACCATGAGTTTATGTTAGGTGTGCTCGCTAGCGAATACGTCAAAAATCTCTATGAAGATTTTGTTTCTTGAAAGTAGCCGCTAGGGGCGCTGCACAATATGTCATACAATTAATGTCATTTTTTTTACGCAGTCGCTAGCGAGCACACCTAACGTAAACTCATGGTAAGCACACAAAAGGTACTCTAGCCGTTTGGCGTGCGTCTGTCGAAGACCGACGTTCGCGATCGGGCCGTATCGAGCGCATAAGGCGCCCGATCAGTGGCGAACCCAACTGAATTTATGTAAGCTATCATTAGTGTTTTGTATTCTAGTATAATATTCTAGGTTGGGGCCATGTTCATTGATCATGTCTTTTGCCAATTTTTTGTCTCCAGGCTTGAGGTCTATTACGTCATTCCCAGAAGACTTTAATACATTTTTCAGTAAATTAGGCTGATTCTAATTTAGTTCTAATTAAATTGAGAACAGGTTTAGGCTTTTTACATGTACCAAGGTAGGGAAACAAATCTAGACCCTCAGGGATGCTCTTCCACTTTAACCGCTGATCAGAGAGACCTCTTGAGAGTTTATGAACGTCTTATTAAATTTGTATTTCAGGCTGATTACAGCAAATGAAAAAAGTAATAATCTACCTGGCAGAATGTCTTAAAGAAAATAAATTTGCATTTGTGCAAATTCATATTTCGGAGAAAAACTCTTTGAGTATCAACTCGTGTATATTTTTAAAATGTTTGGCCAAACGAAGCATGATTACAACGTAGCCAAAAGGTTTAAGACAGGCTGCTTCGCCGCCAAAGCTTGAATTTATAAACCTAAAATTCTGTCAGATGTGAGTTATATTTTCTTGCAGTGTTCCGTACACTTGTATCGCTTTATACAACGTGTCCCAAAATACAAGGATAAGCCGGCGCCGCAGGATGAACATAGTCATGACTACTTTAGGAAAAATAAGGAAAAAAATATATCTCAATTATTTTTTAAGTTAGATATATTAGTAGTAGCAAATTCTTAGAACTTTCCTATGACAGACGGCCAACCAAACTAAAATTTTAGAGATTTTCAATACTCGTACGGAACTCTATGAATGCCTTTCATTTTACTTACTGAATTTCATGTTTACTTACGTACCTGAAAACTTCAGCTAACCTTTTTGGAATAGCTGTGTTGTTGTATAGGTTGTGACTTGCTTACCCATACGATATTGAAATCTATTTTTATTTTATCTTGGCTTGAGTTACTCGTACCTACATATGAAAAAAAGCACTCGTCTTTTTAGTTCATTCTAGTTAAGTACTTTTGTTAATTAAATAATGATTGAACTTAGTGAGTAGTGCCTCATTGAAACCTCAGAACAAAAACTCAAAAATTTTTTTTTGTAAAAACTTGATCGCAACAACTCTGTTTTTAAGTTTTATTTTTTGACACCTATTTTTGGACTTATCTGAATTACTAAACTGTAGCATCTAAGTAGTTGTAATAGTTGCTATATTCCAACAAAAATATAGTGCTGTAAACTGTGCCTACTGATTATGATGCAGTGACCTTTACATATAATCTGTACTTCACTATCTGACCAAATTAACGTCAGCAAATTGTAATTTTACGACTAAATTGTGAAACGAAATGAGTCTGAACATTTCATAGTAAACTATAGGTACCTACTTTGTTTTTGTATCAAATTATAAAATGTAAACTAAAAAATAAAGTGACTAATTATTTCTGAGAAGTATTAGTAGTGACAGCTACGTCTGATTGAGTCGCCCATACGCTGGACCGATCAGTGTGCTTACCATGAGTTTACGTTAGGTGTAGATACTCGCTAACGACTGCGTAAAAAAATGACATTAATTGTATGACATATTGTTCAGCGCCCCTAGCGGCTACTTTCAAGAAACAAAATCTTCATAGAGATTTTTGACGTACTCGCTAGCGAGCACACCTAACGTAAACTCATGGTAGGTACACAGGTAACACAGGTTAAAATCCCACTCAATGTTCCACTTCACAAATGTACAAGAAAGGCTGCAATGCGGGAGGAATGGCGACGGATTGTGAATCTTGCCTCCACGACTACCACCACTCTGCCAAGAGTGTAGCGACGAAGAAGGGACCTAATTACAAAATTGTCAGTTTCCACTGGCGCAGAGCATTCGACTAAAACTGCAAGTATTCAATAAACGTCAGACAGTATCTCAGTCGCAAAGTTGATGCCGCTCTCAGTACCTATCGGTGACCGGAGTAGAGGGAACTATTTCAATAAAGGGTTGCCAACCGAGCGAAAAGAAATTCCACGGAAAAAGTATAAAATCCAATTTATTTTTATCCTAGAGAGAGAGAGAGACAAAGATACGTACTTAATTCATACCTCGCGGATGAAGTAGGTATTCATAAAATTTGAGGACTTACGTTGATTCATAATGAAGCGATGAATAACATTATTTAAAATTACCTACATATTTCTTTGGTACGTAGGTGAGTCATCTCACATGTACGGACTTAGATACTTATGAAAATATCTATTTTTTTTTGTCGAATTACATTAAAACATTGTAAGAACAAACTTGTAGAAGTAACATTTGTATTTTTAAGAACTTTTAAGTCTTGGTGCTGGGAGATACGAAGCTTTCTAAAAGTTAATAAGTATGTGTAAATGTTGGCCGGTTAATCTGTTAATAAACTATGTATATTTCCATGAATTTAGGGAAAATACCCTACACTGGCAACCCTGCCAAGTTAGGAACTGGCAACTGCATCCCTGGTTCATGTTGAAGCGTTTTAGAGTTTGTTTATGTCTGGCAAATTACTACTCTGCTGACTAGTGTACCTTGTGATTTTGTTTATGGGTTATAGTACGCCTGAAACGTTTATGGTGGTGGTAGAGTACCATCATTGCGGGAGATCAATAAAATGGAGGAGCAAATATAAACTACGAGTAGGCCTCATGTTTGTATTAAGAACTTTGTAGAAAATTACGAAAAACTGTTTTCTTCTTACGCGATGAGTCTAATAATAGACAATTACTTAATTATCTTGAGTTACGATTTAATGAAAAACTTTAAAAAACATGGAAATACTTAACTTTTTTTATAAAAAAAATACCGTGTGGCATAATTTCCTTATAAAATTAATATCTCAATACGTTTTAACAAACGTCCTTTGAATGAGTATCGGAAAGCTCTTTCATCAATTTTCAAACATTACAAACTTGGTTATATCAATTACTTGGTCGCTATAATCAAANAAATCAAATCAGAAAAATGAGATTTTGTCAAAGTAGATTGTAAATTCCTATTTGCCAAAGTTTTACGTTGCGCGAACCTATGTTCGAAGCTCGATCCACGATCGGCGAGCGCAGGGCAGGCAGTATGTCAACGACGCCGCGTACACCAACACGAGTCGGCGAGACACTGGCCGCGCGCCCGTCCTACTCCTTCGCCGATAAAGTTTACTTTTTAAAAGTTATTATTTTTTATCTATGCACAATGGCGCGTAAACCTGTGTTATTCGGATGACATAAAAGTATTTTCCCGCCAATTTTCCTCCAAACTTCAGTGGCAATTTCTTGTGAAACTTTGACGGTGTTTTATCAATTATTTCGTGTTGATCCCAAATTGAGTCGTTAATTTCTTCGCAGTTCGGAAGTTTGTGAACAAAGTGTACATTGGTGTAATAATGAATGAACTTGACACGGTGTGAAATTATGTCGTATCTCAAACAAGAATTCAAAACTTTTTGAACAAGAAGCAACTCCGCGGCATATTGAGGTTTGTGATTATCTTTTACAAAGTATTTTTAATAATCCAGAATTTAATATTGTAGGTACTTATTTCTAAGGTTTTTAGAGTAAGTTAATGTTCTTATGATGATGCATGATCGAAATTGATAACGAATTTCACTTGGACATGAAAAACAAAAATAAATCATACCGCGCCATATTTTAATTGATATCTAACGCGCTCTTATGATTTTTTCTAGGGCCTAGTCCCAAAGTTATTAGAGGTGGTATCATGCCAATTCTCATCCTATTGATATGATTGTCGAACAACAAATATCTTGAAAGAGTGAAATTAAAAAATCTGAAAAGGGTATTAAAATAGCAATACCCATTAAAATAGAAACTTCAAATATTCACATTTTTGATACTAGTACGAGCACAATGACTAACATTATCATTTCATGTTATCAGCTACTAGTTGCAATTTTTTTTTATTTTTATAAACGAGTAGCTGTCCATGAATGAAATAAGTTAATGAATAGCTGATTAAATAACGAGTAGGAAGAGAATAATTTATTATAACGAATATAATAAACACGTGCATGGAACAGTCATATTTTTGATTAAATAATACAATAGCTTTGTCCTGCAACTTCATTAGTGTATGTACTTTGTTGTACTACCTTTATGTATTTTATTTTGGGAAATCGTTTTTTTAGTGGATGCATTAGTCATATCACCGTGCCAAATTTAAGTGCAATGCGTTCAGTTTTTGAGCTGTATGCTAGTAAATAAATCTGATCTGATTGCTTTTAGTTACAATAAAATTGAAGAATAATATTTCAGTTTTTCCTTGCGTATCAACATGGTACATTTTCTATGCCCTGTTATCTAAGGCTTTTCTAATGACAGAGTTGATGTGTGGTTGAAGGAAATTTGCAGATATGGGATTTTTTCCAATTGTCATAACCAATTTAGTCTAGCAAAAGAGTGATAGACTGCTTGAACTACTCTTTATATAATAATATACTCTATATTTATATTTATATGAAAACTAAATATTTAGTAGTACAAAAATTTTTATTTATTTTGCAGCAAGATTTTATTTATTTCACTGACTTATTTAGCTCAATTTTATTTAGGAGTAAGTCCAACATTTCAAATATTTTAACTTAATTGCACATTGTCACGATACCGGGACCTTCTAATGTCTTTCAGAAAATTAATGAACAATTTCTGGCCTCAAAATATTTAAATCAAACATTTTAGAAATAAATGTCGTCGTTTAAATGAATCACGTACTAAATGGACATTCAATTTGTTAGGTGCTTTCGTGCTGGACGCGACAAACAGTTTTAATTTTGTAAATTACTTCTGAATGGTGTTTAGTAACTGGCTGCCAAATATTTTTATGAAAAAACAAAACTTTCGCTTCATTTTTAAAGGACTAAACATTTTACGGACAGTTATTTCAGCTTTTAATTACTGAGAATAAAATAGAAGAACGTTTAGTATTTTCTAACCTCCTAAAATTGTATCAATTAAGATTTAAAAGGAGAAATTACAGAGAATATTCATTTCGTAATTTAATTTCACTTACGAGAACAGAAAACATCATGTATGCCAAACCAAAATTAATTGGTAGGTAATTAAGGCTAATTGATTGGTGTAATACTTATAGTAAAAATTTACGACGTCGGCCTGTTGTCAATTATTTTTGGCTTTTGTACACATGGTGCCATCAGAACCATATTATCAATATGCCTCAACATTATATTTGTCTTAAGTATGCCCGTTATCACCATCCATGCCTAATTTTTAAGTTATCCCTATGTAAACAAAATTGCTGTTATTTGTTACCATAGGGGTCACTTAAAAATTAGGGATTGATGGTGAAAACGGGCATTAGTGAGCTGTACCTATCGCATGAACCGTAGAACCGTAATTTATTATTCGGTTATGAAATTTTCACAGATTATGTAAGTAGACAGAATAATGCCTAGTGCACATCAGAGTTAAATTTTTGACATAAAATACGGAGCCCTTTGTGGGCGAGTTCGACTCGAACTTGACCGTTTTTTTAATAAAACTTAATTGTTTTTCCGAACCCCGTCTTTTAATTGTTTGCGTTACGATCCAAAGTGGACTGTAATTGAAAATTTTTGCTCATGTAACGACCTAGTAACACAAACTAAGGAGAATTTTATGAAAATCAAAGTTTTGTGATTGTATGAGTTATCCTAGAGTAACCTATAAAAATATCTAGGTACACTAATCTAATAAAAGGAGAGATTTGATTATTTGTTTGTTTGTATTGAATAGGCTCCGAAATTATTAGACATATTTGAAAAATTTTTTCACCATTAGAATCCTAAATTATTTCTGATAAACACAGGCGGTACGAAATTCGATGGGTCAGCGAGTATATAAACTCTTTTGATAATATGTCTAAAACTATCATGTCCTAACATATTAAGCCTGCCGCGTCGTGTCCTAACGAGGCAAATTGTTCAGTACCTTACCCAATAATTTATGGGCCAAGTGCAAGGGAATAATATGAGCTCATTGGCTTAGGAGAAAATTGTCTTAGTACAGGAACGTGTGGAGCATATTATTATGATTATATCCCATTCTTACCTGACAAGGAGCTAATATTATGACCTATGGTACCTAATAAAGTTTAGGTAGGTTATTGAAACTTCACAATTGCTGGGAACAGATTGTCTTTTATTTAAATGACAGTTGCCAGGCATTGTGTAGTTTCAATTAAAAATTATTTGTGTAAATTAAATAATGGGAATTTTCTAGATATAATAAAAATCTGAAATTGTATAAAAGTGGCATTGTATGGTGGAATTGTAAGCCTCTCGTGAAAATAATTTGTAAACCTACCAAATAAATGTTTTGAACATTCATTCATATTGTTGAGCCAGACGTATAGTGAATATGGATTCGCATTATCATTATTGACTTAGTCCCTATTATTAATGTAGGTAAAAGCCGTAAGTACATAATGTAACTCATTAATAAACGTCGCGTTAAGACCCGTGTCTTACTATTTTAATTGAAATGGAACGCGAATGTTTAAAATCTTATATTAATGTACGTACTAAAAATCATACGTGATCAAGTATAATTTTGCAATGGTGTAGTTTCCATTGTAGTCAAAGGTATTGAATTTCGCCTTCAAACAGAGATATTAGTCAATGACTCGTGGGTGCAAATGCTAAAGTCATCACAGACATGTCCCCTGCGGAATACGAACCAGCTACTGTTGGCTCTATAATTTGGAGCACTCGGTCGTAGATGATTCACGAGATTTGTTAATTTCAGCCGAGGACACATTAGCAATGTACAAAAAGTGGCTAATAGCCAAATCTTTTTATAATTTATTCAAAGTCGAGCTTCATAATGTATAACACATTCATCTGTTTGATTATAGTATTTTATACAAACAAGCCTTGCTACTCTTACTATGTTTCGTAAAGGATTTTGTTTGACAGTCGATATAACATGACACATTACAACTGCTTATGAGGCGACAGTGTACAGTTTGATGTACAGCCGTCCGTTAGATAGCGACACTATCTCAAGTCTTCCGAGAAATAGAGCAAACGTCTACGAAATTATGCTCCCAAGGTTCTTACCCCCTAGTTTGAATCCCTCAGATTTGCCGCAGCTAACTTTATTACAAGGCATTCATTCCAAACGCCGTGGTTTGCAAACAGAGGCAACAAAAGGAAGGTGAAGAAAATGAGAAAACCACGGGCCTTTATGTGAGATGAGTCTCTTTGATGCTTTGACCCGTAAACTCCTTACACTTTGCGATGTTTCCAATTTTTCATCTCGCCTAATGTGTACCCTGTTTTTGGAACACGTTGATCGTGACATGTGCCAGTGGGAAAGATGTTTAACTTCTGAGAATGGAGGTGTCTTTGTTTTATTTTTACTTACCTAGAGGTATCTTGGTATGCATCCGTGAACTCTGACGTTGTAGGTTCCATAGTTTAATTTNTATAGATGATCAAACGAACTTGCAAGTGAAGTTCGATCGCTATTATATGAGTCGCTTCATTCGAAGATATAATTATTTACAAAGTAGTCCCTTTATCCTACAGGCAACATCGCACGACTTTAGAGAGTATCTCAATTGACTTAAAAAACATCATTCGTTCGGTTCACTCGTTCGGCTTTAGCGCCCAGGTTCTCATTATGTTTAGAGTGTAAATAAAGAACAAAACTTTTCCTTGGGTTACACCACACTTGCGTGTGTGGTTAACGGGTGGGAGGGTTCGTATATCTTCGAATGAAGCGACTCATATAATAGCGATCGAACTTCACTTGCAAGTTCGTTTGATCATCTATTATATTTCGTCGCTTCATTCTTTGATATAATTATTTACAAAGTAGATGTTCAGAGACAAAAGTTTTGTTCTAATAAAGTGCAAGGTAAGTTTCTAAAATAATAACCAAACTTAAATTAAGTACTATATTTGTGATAATTTAACAAACAAAAAATATTGTATTCTTCATACAATGAAAACCAAAAATAATAAATAAGACTTCAGTATTATTTAACTAATTACTATTTGTATGCCGCATTACGGCGTTTGCAAAATCACCTTCGCTTAATATTGGTCTATTATAGAAGCGAGCAAACGCCGTAGAAGTACTGGTCCAGCCAGCCGTCTTACAGATCGCGTCTATACTGAGCCCCGCGGCGCGGGCGGTCGAGGAAGCGGCGTGACGCGTGCTATGCGCGGTGAACGTGTTCACGTCAATACCACATTCGGCTAATAACTGCTTGATCCATCTACTGATGGATTGGGAACTTGCAGCTTTGTGGGGCTTTTTGTAGGTTAATAACAATTTATCTGCGTTCGAGGTCCTCATATTTTTTGTGACAAAAATGTAATCTTTGAGGGCTGAAGCAGGGCATATGTTTATATTCTCTTGGAAATATGGTAAGAATAAGATGGGTTGATCCCGGCCAGGGCCGGAAGTCTTAATTATATCAGTTATGGCTATCTTAACACCGGTCTGAGTTATAGAAATATTGTCGATTTTAATAAGCGAAAGGGTTTGAACCCTATGTGCCGTACAGAGTGCTAGTAAAATGGTAAGCTTTTTAGTTATTTTTTCCATGTTCAGTTCTAAGTTAGGGTACCAATTAGAAATGTGATTAAGGACCAATTGTGGGTCCCAAGTTGTGGTATATTTAGGGCGACTTGGGTTAAGTTTGTATGCCCCTTTTAATAAACGTCTAATACATTCATCAGAGCCTATATTGTCGTCTAAGAAAAGTGACAATGCTGAACGGTGGCTGTTAAGAGAGCCATAAGAGCAACCAGAATTGAATTGTTGTGTTAGAAAAGACAGAACTAATGTTTTGGAACTTTCGAAAACCGGAATGTTATTAAGCGTACAAAATTCCCACCAAAGCTTCAAAGTGACGCTGTACTGTTTGATGGTATTGTCTGACAGTGACGCGAGCATTAATTGGAGAGCATTTGATGGTGCGCCGCGGCGTGCGAACGCCGCCCGCAGAGCTTCGCGGCACCCAGGGTAAGTTTTGGATGCAGCGGATGGTGCTTCCTGAAAGCGGATTGGAGCAGATACTTATGTGGGTTCAGAAAAATAATTTTTGAATCGAGAATACTATGCAGGAGGGGAAACCAAGGCTGGGATGGCCAGTACGGGAAAACTAAGATACCAGTAGCTTTGTCGTCTATGACTTTTCGTATGACTTTCAAAATCAATGAAAATGGTGGAAATGCATAAAAAAACTTCGAATGCCAATTAATTGTAAATGCGTCGATTGCGACAGCATCTGGATCTGGTTTCCAAGATGTAAATATTTCGCATTTGGTGTTGTTGCGAGAGGCGAACAAGTCGATTTCTGGACAGCCAAAACTATGTACTATTGACTGATAAGCTTCGTCACATAGTTCCCACTCCGTGTCGGGGTTGATCTTTCTTGACTCAGCATCGGCAAAATTATCTTTAGTATTGACGTATGATGCGTATAACCAAATGTTACGTCTCTCGCACCATTGCCAAATGGACCGGGCTAAACTATTTAAATGCGGGAATTGGATACCGCCCTGGCGGTTAATATAACTGATTGCTGTGGTGTTATCTACCCGCAGTAATATAGCACAGTGATCCATTTCCGCAACAAGACTTTTTAATCCTAGAAATACTGCGAGAAGTTCCAAATAGTTAATATGGTATTCTAATTCCGCAAGCTTCCATCTCCCGTTAACCTTTTTCCCGTCACAGACCGCTCCCCAACCTGTACGGGAAGCGTCCGTGAATATTTCTTTTTTATAATTAAGTGTTCGCATTGGACAAAACGTTGTTGAAATATTGTCACGCCACCAGTCTAGATCTTCTAAGATTAGTGAAGGAAGCTGGATCTTGGCTTCATAATTATCGTTATGTTTTAACAAAGCTAGAAATTTCTGGCGTTCTAAAACTTTTGTGTATGTGAATCCATACCTAGCTGCGGGGCAAGCTGCAATTAGAATACCTATTAACTGTGCAAACTCCCGTATTGTACATTTTGGAAGTTTTGTGAACTTTTGGACCATTTGGGCGATATGCAAACGCTTTTCTGGTGGCAATGATATCGAAAAATGTTTTGTATCATATACAAAACCTAAAAACGTGCAAACTTGTGAAGGCGCTAAAACGCTCTTCTCGTAGTTCACTACAAAGCCGAGACACTCCAAAAGTGATAGAGTTATTCGTAGATTATCAATACATTGTTCGATATTATCGCCGATACATAATATATCGTCGAGATATATAACAGATTTATGTCCTTGTTGTCTTAGGTATGCAATAACCTCTCTCATTATTTTGGTAAAAACCCTGGGTGCCACAGATAAACCGTAGGGCATAGCGGTAAACTCGTACATAAATTAGTTGAATTCGGAGCTTGGAAATTAAATCTTAAATATTTTCGATCGTCTTCACTTATTGGGATTAAGAGATAAGCTTCTTTTAGATCTATTTTAGCTATAAACCCGCCTTGTGGTATAAGTTTTAGAGCGGTCCTATAATCCTCCATTTTAAAGTGGGTACTTGTAATAAATTTATTTAAGCATTTTAAATTTAATATGAATCGCTTTGTGCCATTTGGCTTAGGGGCTAAGAATATATTAGATATGTATTGGCCCTGAACTGGAATACATTGTGAAACAGCTCCTAATTCAATTAATTTATCAATTGCCTCAGCCATCTCGAGTCTTTCTTCCGGAGTGAAGTTAGACTTGGGGGCAATATTTTGCGTCACTTCCTGACAAAAGGGTATAGAATACCCGTATTTTATCCAATCTAAGACAGTTTGGTTGTTTGTTATACGAGACCAACAATGGAAGAATAATTTAATTCGGCCTGCGTGTACCTGATCTACTGTGGCGGTGCACGGGGTCGGGGCTGGTTGTAGCCCTTCAGCTGATTCGAAGTCGAAGCAGGGTAAGTCCGCCTGGGAGGAACTGCTGGTCGCTGGCCCCTGTAGCCCTGACCTCCCCGCCCCCCCCTGTTCGACGGGTACCGAGGAGGTCCTGACCAGTTTCCCTGAGGAGTAGGGCGACTAACAGTTGATGGAACATTCGCTGGTTTTTGATTCGTCAATGGTTTCCTTATTTGGGAACCTTGTCGTTCAATTGCCTTACTGGCTTTAATCTTTTCAGATAGTGAATTGCCGAATAATGTGTCATCTCGCTCAGAGTCTTGTATGACATGTAAAAAGTTCTTTTCCAAGCTGGGTGTAATCAATTTGATCCTATCCTTTGTTAGGGCGTAATGTAAATCGGTTAAGATGCGGCAGCCGTCGCTCAAATACTTTAAGGCTTGTATTTTGTTATCGGAACACAACAAGGTATCCATTGCTCTGTTTATTGCCGAGGTACCCGCTCCGAGCTGTTGTTGAAAGCCGATAAACTTTTTATCGCGTCCTCTTACCACGTCTGACACTGCAGCGGATATTTCGGCGTTTAACTTAGGCGCCTGCAGTAGCTTACAGTTGCTAGGAATTAAGTAATCCTTTTCTTTGAAAAGAGTTTCCTTCTGGTCTTTTGGTAGGCCTTTTTTTAAAAGCGGGGTCCATAAGTTAGCTAAACTGTCGTGTATTTGATTTCCAAAATCGGGGACGTCAGATGTTGAAGCTCCCAAGGCAGAAAGAATTTCAGCATCAAGTGTAATTTCAGGAGTTNGGAGCAAATATATGAATAACTTAAGAAAAAGTTTGAAAAACGATATACGTGCCTATAAAATTTGAGGGTTTCTCTCGATTTCCCTAGGATCCCATCATCAGATCCTGACTTGGTGACAATGGGACCACCTCAAAAGTGTACCCTATCGAACAAAAAAAGAATTTTGAAAATCGGTTCATAATTGGCGGAGTTATCGCGTAACAAACATAGAAAAAAAAAAAAAACATACGGGTCGAATTGAGAACCTCCTCCTTTTTTTGAAGTCGGTTGAAAATCATATTATATTTAAAAGTTAAGCTAAACTAACCTCAGTCTCATAGCATGCTACGAGGTGCGGCTACGCTTTATTATGGCTAACACGTAAAGTGTTTAATGGGCAAATATTTATCATTTTAACTGTCATACAAGTAAAGATAAACGAAATACACTCAACATCAAATAAACCGCACCTTCCGCGACACGAATTCAAAGATTTTTTTCTGACACAATCATGGTGCCCCAACAATATTGGTGCTATTTGAAAGCCCAATAAATATCCTATAAGAAAAACACGTTTAATTTCTTAATAAGTGATTAACATATACCATAAATGTGACTTGAAAATAGACCTCATTTTGGGCTCACCTCTGGGATCAATCAGACCAAATTTAATGGTTATAAAACCAAATAATGATCACACGTATCCTGTTTAACAGATGGATAGCGATTAATCCCAACTTAACAGTTTTCTAACCATAAAAGTTGGCACAAGCGTAACTACCAATTTTTTGAAGAAGTGACTCTGGATCCTTCTAACGACACATTTTTGGAGTAAAAACCTTTCCTTTAATGAAATGAAGTTAAGAACTAGGCTTTTAAACGATGCCAATATTAGTAGGAAGTGGGGATGCATACGTTTGAAAGTGCTTGTCGCGAGAGGTGCGATTTATTTGATGCCGAGTGTAGTTAACGAGTAAAGGTAAATAGTTTTAAGGCGCTAAGGGTCTGCTCATAATTCCAAGATATAAGTAGGTATTCGTAGAGCAGCTGCGACTTTCTCAGAATTTCGTTCTTGCTTCCTTAAATGATTCAGCATCTCACAAAGTATAGGGAATGAGATAATTATAACAATATTTTCACTTGGCAACAACCTCAAAACGACCTGTCACCGTTGTCATTGCAATTGATATTCGCCGAAAAATAATTAGGATAGGATGTTATCAATGAAACTTGATCTATTTGTTTTTGCGGGTAATCGGCACAAATGGATGTTTACACATGGCATCTGTTCCCTAACTGTTTTGACAGACCGATCTGAGTTCATATTATGTTAATAGATAACAGGGTAATCTCGGGCCAATTCCGGACGTAATATTGTATTCGATGATATCCTTCCCGTTCATTGATGCTAGCGTCTAAAGATGAGTGAAAGATGAGGGGAGNATTGTATTGTCCCGCAGACAATAGGGGGTAGACAACACGCATCTATCTAAGAATGCATGTAATTTCTACGAATATGACCACTAAATATGATCCACAATTAGCCCGCAGCTAATTATGATATCGCGATTGACCCGCAGTCAATCTCGATTTAGTTGTAAATGTTAAGATTTTTCATGATTACAAAAATATAAATGTCATTATTTAAAGTGGGTAAGTATACTATGCAATGTAATTATTAACGTATTGTTATGATTATTTTAGCTTGTAAAAGTTTCAAATGTACTACATCACAGTATTTTGCAAAAAAAATTCGTTAAAATACAAACACTATACAATAATGATAGGTAGGTAGAAGGTACCTGTATTTTCCTCATCGTCTGACGAATCTCCTACAGCGTATTCGTCGGCGTTTTACTTGTTCTTCTTTCTCCAATAACTTCCTAATCTTTTTTTCGTAGCGTTGTAATTTCTCTTGTGCACTGCGCTTCGGCATTTTTGCGGCGCGTGCGCACGTTTCCTCGCACGAAAAAGGAATGAGAACCTGGGCGCTAACGGCCGAACGAGTGAACCGAACGAATGATGTTTTTTAAGTCAATTGAGATACTCTCTAAAGTCGTGCGATGTTGCCTGTAGGATAAAGGGGATAATTATATCAAAGAATGAAGCGACGAAATATAATTAATGTAGGTACTAAAAATCATACGTGATCAATATAATTCTGCAAATGGGAAAGTTTCCATTGTAGTCAAAGGTATTGAGTTTCAACTTCAAACAGAAATAAATTAGTCAATGACTCGTGGGTGCAAATGCTAAAGTCATCACAGACATGTCCCCTGCGGAATACGAACCAGCTACTGTTGGCTCTATAATTTGGAGCACTCGGTCGTAGATGATTCACGAGATTTGTTAATTTCAGCCGAGGACACATTAGCAATGTACAAAAAGTGGCTAATAGCCAAATCTTTTTATAATTTATTCAAAGTCGAGCTTCTTGTTATACATTCATCTGTTTGAGTAGGTATAGTATTTTATACAAACAAGCCTTGCTTCTCTTCCTTTATGTTTCGTAAAGGATTTTGTTTGATAGTCGACATAACATGACACATTACAACTGCTTATGAGGCTACAGTGTACAGTTTGATGTAAAGCCGTCCATTAGATAGCGACACTATCTCAAGTATTCCGAGAAATAGAGCAAACGTCTACGAAATTATGCTCCCAAGGTTCTTACCCCCTAGTTTGAATCCCTCAGATTTGCCGCAGCTAACTTTATTACAAGGCATTCATTCCAAACGCCGTGGTTTGCAAACAGAGGCAACAAAAGGAAGGTGACGAAAATGAGAAAACCACGGGCCTTTATGTGAGATGAGTCTCTTTGATGCTTTGACCCGTAAACTCCTTACACTTTGCGGTGTTTCCAATTTTTCATCTCGCCTAATGTGTGCCCTGTTTTTGGAACACGTTGATCGTGACATGTGCCAGTGGGAAAGAGGCTTAAATTCTGAGAACGGAGGTCTTTGTTTTATTTTTACTTATCTAGAGGTATCTTGGTATGAATCCGTGAACTCTAACGTTGTAGAGTCCATAGTTTAATTAAGTTTTTTCACTGACATTTTATACATAAGTTATTGAGTAATTTGTGATTTTAAAATTATTAATTAGGCATCATAATTTATTTAAAAGTTAAGCTAAACTAACCTCAGTCTCAGTTAGCATGCTACGAGGTGCGGCTACGCTTTATTGTGGCTAGCACGTAAAGTGTTTAATGGGCAAATATTTGTCATTTTAATTGTCATATAAGTAAATATAAACGAAATAGTTAACCAGTAAAGGTAAATAGTTTTAAGGCGCGTCTGTTCATAATTACCGAGATATAAGTAGGTATTCGTAGAGCAGCTGCGACTTTCACAGAATTTCGTTCTTTCTTCCTTAAATGATTCAGCATCTCAAAAATTATAGGAACTCTATTTTTTAACTGTTATTACTAAACCCATTACGCCTTGTTAGTTGTTCATTCAGATACATCGTTAGAGATAATTAAAACATTATTCACTTGGCAACAACCTCAAAACGACCTGTCACCGTTGTCATTGCAATTAATATTCGCCGAAAAATAATTAGGATAGGATGTTATCAATGAAACTTGATCTATTTGTTTTTGAGGGTAATCGGCACAAATGGATGTTTACACATGGCATCTGTTCCCAAACTGTTTTGACAGTCCGATCTGAGTTCATATTATGTTAATAGATAACAGGGTAATCTCGGGCCAATTCCGAACGTAATGTATTCAATGATATCCATCTCTTTCATTGATGCTAGCGTCTTAAGATGAGTGAAAGAGGAGGGGAGATCGGGTTTTGTAGAAAATAACTTTGTCGACTCCTCGTGCATTATATAAAGTTACAAAACTGTATTTTTCTCAGTATCGGCGCATAATTGGAAAGCCGACCCCGCGTAACGGGATAAGGCGAGGCAGATGAAGAAGAAGACTGCATATTTTTCAAGGGTGCACTAGCATTTTAGAGTTTTGTTGACTATTAAAATACGCAGTTGATATTAAAGTGCTATTATTAGTAAAAAGTGGTCTATATATTTTTTAGATTAGGTATCTCTGAAAGACGCGTTTAGGTCTATTCCACTTTGATCACCTGGATTTGATCATCTTGGCGATCAAAGTGGATTTCTTATTCATGGGTGATCAAAGGACACCAAAGTGTCATCATCAATTTATCAATTTCAAACATCAATTCATATCACGATATCATACTAAACAGTCTTATTATTTTTGCAATCCTCGCATAATACCCATATGTGTAGATATCAAATCTTCGCATACGCTCGTGCTCGCATAAAAATAAAAGATTTTTATGGCGTGTCCATCATCGAGGAGATTAAAAACTTCATGCATATTGGATCGTTTTATCATTTCCGCGCACATATTGGTACTCATGTAGGGATTAAGCTGCAATACATTTCGGCACTTTAGGAAAATTAAAATTAGATTGTGTCTATAGTTATTGAGCTGACACAGATTGAACTATTTGCCCGATAGATAGGTATATAGAAATTGAATTTGAAAAAAAATACTGTCAGACCGGGGTTCATAATCGTGTTAGTAACAATTCTCACTCAGCCTATGTTAGTAACAAAATAATGTATTACCTACTTATACTTGACGTTTTAAATATCATTTTAATATTTGGCTTAGAAATGATAGATATCTAGATCTACCTATCACTTTATTGAACTCTACATTAAAACAAGAAAAGAAAAGAAAGAAGTATAATATAATTTACAATTTTAAATTTTAATACAATTTTAAATTTTCGCGTTCATTTCAACCAAAATAGAGAAACCGGATTTCAACGCGGCATATCGCGTTTTTTAAAAAGAAGTACACAAAAGAGACGGCCCAATTTAGATAGATAGATAGACAGTATTTATTTATCTCAAAACAGGTTTAGGCAATCTTATCTCTATGATCTCTTCGAGAGACCTAGAGGACCGTTGTTCAAATTAAGTAAATGAGAAGGCGTTGACTCTTACAAATGACATAATTTCATTCATTAAACTTGTGAATATTAGTCGAAGAACATAATACTGCTATAAATACATCTGAAAAGGAGCCTTTTATAACACCGTGCATCGACGACATTTCAATTCTTAAAAGCACAAGCTTCAACACCAGAAATAACGTGAACGTTTGCGTTTTCCTTTTAAGTTTAACTCTATATTTCCTTGCACTGGATGGCATCCTTAAAAGCGTACGATAAGAGAAGTAAAAATACGATTTGTTTCTATCCTCTAGCACCGAACTTAACGACAGTACATTCGCCCGCTGAACTCTAAAAGCAGCGACATAATAACCTTCTTTTTAAAACAAGCTGAATGACATAAGAAAGTAATGTTGCCGTGTGTGAAACGTACACTTGTTCAACAGTAGAATTCGAAGTGTTCTCGTATTTCTTGAAAAAAATATATTCAGTTTTGAATAATTAGAAAGCAGAAATGTTTATTCAGTATCATCGACAATGCACTTTACCTACAATACATAAAAAATGTTTAACTAGTAATTACAATGATACTGAAAAGGTATCCACTCAGCATGGTGTCGTAGCATCTTAGTAGATAATGCCACGACGATCGCGATGGTCTTCACATTATTTTGTCATAATTTGCTAAATTTCATTCTCGTACGCTGCAGCTCTGTTCTAGGTTCTTGTTTGTCTTTTATCATCCCGAAGGATGGACTGGATGGAAGCTGGAAAAATTTAATTTTCGAATAGTTAAAGTTTACTTTGTAACCTACTAATAGAGCTCGTGAAGCATTTTCAACATCAGTGTGCTTACCATGAGTTTACGTTCGGAGTGCTCGCTAGCGAGTACGTCAAAAAAATCTATGAAGATTTTGTTTCTTGAAAGTAGCCGCGAGGGGGCGCTGCACAATATGTCATACATTTAATGTCAATTTTTTACGTAGTCGCTAGCGAGCACATCTAACGTAAACTCATGGTAAGCACACAGTAACCAGTTTTTCGATATCTTGTCATGTTTAGAAATAATCACACACTTATCGTTTCCACCCCGTTTGTTTTGCAAAGATTTTTTTGGGAAAATGAAAGGACAACTCAGAATAACTTAATGCAAGATTAGTAGAATGTATGGTATTGGATGCGGACTTACTGTACCCTCTTTCTTATGATACCCGCATGGTGCTTCACATACATATTTGTATGAGTCTCCGCTATATCACTCGCTTTTAATTTAGTGTGAGCGGTGCTGGTAGTGTGGCTGGTTGAATCGTTCACGGATGCAAATGGATTTATAGAGATTATTCTGACAGGAACAAACTAGGGAAAACATTGGGAAAATGCACAGTGGAAAAGGAATTTCCAATTACGCTCCGAAAAATGTGTTGTTATTTCTGAATCTGGGAACATAGTAGGTATTCGTAGTAACATTATACATTAAAAAAATCCACAATATGAGTAATTCTTAGTTAAACAGAATATTAGACAGTTTTGCTTACCTACCGTTTTAAGGTGTTCACTATTTGTGTTACATACTTATTTATTTACTCAAATTGATTTAGCCATTTCAAAAATAATCTCCACTATTTATAGATAATACCTACAAACAAATCTGCAAAATAAGAAGGTGATATGTGGCGTTGTCCTAGTTCTAAATTAAGTACCTACTAAAAGTTACCACCGAACATTATGTCTCAATAACATGTTTTTTTTATCTATTTCTATTGCAGATCGTATTAAATTAGCTTCGCTTCAACTCACTTAAAGTTTAGCTGTATGCGACTTTATTCAATCGAAATGGAAAAATTAAATACAATTTGTAGAGACACTGCTAGTTTGAAACTTTTCCCATAATAAACAACATTCTATCGAATATATTACAGGAAATGTAGGCTAAAAAATGAGGGTCACGGTTTTCGATATCGGGAACGGAACCAAAAACATCATGTTTAGGTTCGAC